GACCCGCCCACAGCTTGCCCTTAGTCGCAGGGTATTCATTTTTAAAAGTTCGTAGCTCGGTTCCACACTCCAGACACCGGAAAAAGTGGGCTAATATCAGCAGAGGGTCGCCGATTGAGAAATATGGGGTATACATATTGCGGGCCGGGCCAGACGAAAATTCTCTAAAACTGTCCCAGAACACTCCATGCACCGGAAAAAGTGGATTAAGGTCAGCAGAGGGTCGTCGGTGAAGATTGTAGGGCACAAACATTGTGGGCGGGGCCTGCTCCGAGGTGGGCGGAGTCAGACGAAGAATCTGTAAAATAGCTCAAGAGTACTTCAGACACCGGAAAAAAGTGGAGTACAGAACAAAAGGCGGATATCAGTTGAGTCTAGAAATATGTGAAAGAAAATACGCGCGGCGAAGCCGCGCCCGCCCGGCGCAGCCGGGCCGTATCAGAAAGAGGCGCGCCGGCGTTAGCCGGCGAGCCGACTGGTATATTATATCTTAGGATCAAGAGCTAGCTGATGCTGTCACCCGCGTTATGAATATGTTGCCTTCCCCTTCTAACGCCTCTTATCGGATCTTATCAACTGATATCACTTCCTGTCACCCACCAATAGTGTTCCCGTCACACCCTACACTTCTTGGAACCAATGTCTCACTGCTACTGGGACCGGCGCTATGAATTTCGTGACAAACAGACGGACGCGCACACACACACACAGACATACTTAGCGAATTATGTGTGGTAGGATAATGAACACTTGTAGCTGTCCTTGTTTGCTTCGCATCATTTTGCCCTTTTTTGCGGAAAAAGGGCAAAATTTTTGCTGTGGCGAAACAAACTGTCCAACCCAGGTGGGTGATGTCAAAATGTTCATAATATACCCCATCATGGTAAAAGCGAGCGCAAATATGAAGAGACCACTGACACGTCGAAATGCGCGCTGGAAGAGGTCTTCTACCAGGCTCTCAGAAGGTAAAGTAGGCAAGGGAAGCCTTCCACAATTTCCTTGCCACTCCCATATCTGTGGCAGGGACCCAAACTGCACGTGGGAACATTTGGAAGAAGTGACCTGGAGGAAAACGACCCAACCACTGAGCTTTTCCCAGACTGCTTGGTCCAACAGGTATTCACAGGAGATAACAGGATGAGACTTGTATTTAAGCGAGTGGTGAGGCAAGTGCGATTCATTTCGCAATTCGACCATGCTCCCAGCACTAGCGGTTGTCTTCATAGCGGTTTTACATCTTCACCCGTGTGATGGCCAACAAGTCAGCTGGGACCACACGAAACCTGTCTGTCACAATCTTTTGTCCTAAAACTGTTGAATCTCAGCTGATGAGGCTCTTGTTCCAGATAGTCACTGCTTACGGAGATCGTAATGGACACAATTATCTGTTTGCCTATGATTATTACAGTTCTACGAAAAATTATGCTCACACTGGAGTCGCTGTTCGGTGAGTCTTTTCGCGTGTTAGCAACAAGTCTGAGTTCTGCTCTTTTTTGATTGGTTATGGAAGGAGCGAGCGTTGTTGAGATACAGCTGGTTCGATGCAGATGCAACGAGTCTGAAGGGGGTTGGGTATGTGTGTCGTAGTGCCTGAATAAGCTGGACAGGTGTTTCTTCAATCGAAGCATGGTCTCAAGAACGTCGTACTTTTGATTGTCTGTATAGTGTGGTTCGCTGCGAATGAAGGGGCGTGCGCGCGAGGCTGACTTTGGCACGCGTTTTTTTTTTCTTTCAGCAAGCAACAGGCTACCAAGTCGTTCATATGAGTCGTTTT